TCAGCTATTATTTATTCGACATTATTAAGCAAATCATAAAGCTCTCTTAAAAACAAAAACTTACTTCACCGTGCTTATCGACAAATTGAAAAGCTTGAACGAGGCGTAAAGTCTCATCCACAGAACGACCCACTGGGAGATCATTGACTGTGATTTGCCGTAAAATCCCTTCTGGATCGATGATGAATAATCCTCTGAAATATGTTCACTTAGTTAACAGTAGTTGAGCCGAGTAATATAATTTTTAAGTGTTAATTTCCTGAAAAACTTGATTTCAACGGAACTATAAAGGACGAAATAACTGGAGAAACTGGCAAGATGGATCTAAACAAGCCATACTGTTAAAACGGTGTGTCGTCTCCGATAACCTCACACTTCCATCGTAACAAACAATGTACCAAACATTTATACATACCGATAAGCAATTCCATCGTCTTCTTTGAGCACACCATAGGCCCTGCTGATTTCATGATTCGTATCAGCAAGAATTGGTATATTCATCGGTCCAAGTCCACCCATTTTTCGATCGGTATTTACCCATGCAAGATGCGAGAAATGCGAGTCAGTTGAACACGCCATAACAGCCACATCTAACTGCTTGAATTCCGCAATACGATCGGAAAATGCGATTATCTCTGTTGGACAAACAAAAGTGCTGAAAATAGCACATATAGAATAAAATTTCCTTTTTATTTTGAACTAAAATAAAAATGTCGTTGAAAAATGGCTGCAAATATCTTTTTTATTTCCGATTATGAATACGAGAAAGAATGGAACATACAAATCGAGTGGATAAAAGAAGAGGACCACATATTTCCCTTTAAACTGACAAAGTGAAATCTCCTTGAAATCGCCATTCATAACCGCTGTTGTTTTAAAGTTGGGAGCTGGTTGACCAATAAACGCTTTACTTCCGGCAAGAGTCATTTTTTTCTGAAATTCATTCATTTAAAATAATACGTAAACCATCTCACATAAAATAGGATAAATACGCAAAATTATGCATCACACATACTGTTAAAGAAACCAAATCTTATCATTCTGGAATGTTAAAGAAACCAAATCTGACGACGACAATCGGAAAGACGAAAAAAATTACTGACCAAGACAGGAAGAAGATCGGACATTACTGAATTCTTGAATGAGGACCTTACATTAAGAGATCCGATACTCTGGCCACTATCGATTAATTTCCTTTATCAGATGACTCTGCGACTGTCCCAGATATTGGAAAAAAATAGGACAGTAAGTTAGGAATGTCCCTGTGGTACAGGACAGAATGACTAATAGTTGCATTGTATTCCAAAATATATGGAATATATCTTTTATTACAATGAAAAAAGAAGAAAATGTTATCCTATGGAAAGAATTATTGAATTATCCATCCCGAGAACTATTGCAATGACACATACTTCATCTCTCGAAATAAAAGGTGGATAATTGAGAGTAAGGACCAGATACACTACTTTAGAATTATCAATAAATTCCCGGAAACCGTTTAACATACAACATGTTGTACGGTTGGCTAAACAGGAATAAATCGATGAAAATAAAATACAGAGAGGGGGAGAGAGAGAGAGAGAGAGGAAGAAAGGAAGGAAAGGGAAAGAAGAGAGAAAACGTCTAAAATGTTTTCAAGAAGACAGGAATATTGTTTAAGAACGATACTGTCTACAATATTTTCAAGAAGACAGGAATATTTACAAAGAGATATCATCTCGGGGAGACATTTGACATATAAATATCACCAAGGACACGGCCCCTTACCAGCAAAAGGAATTAATTGAATTCTAAAAATGAATCTTTGAAACGATTGTAAAATTTTCATTGCTAATAGCTAATAATTTCGTTTGGCTCATATGGAAGCAATATGTGAAATTATTTCAACTGCAAAAAAAAAAAAACGAAAGAAGAAATATGCGTGTTATCGTAGAATTTTTTTTTTAAGATAATAGTCTAACCAAAGTTGAATTTCTAGAAAAATTAGCAGGAAAGAAGAGCAAAATTAGGCTATAAATTTGAGAAAATTTTTGGAAAACACGTAACTACACATTACAATACTTCCATCGAAAATGCAATTCTTAACGCTATCGTAATTGACTGCAAGCCAAAAACATTTAAACTTTTTGCGGCAGAAATAAATGACGTAAATATACGTATATGCGTGGTATACTATTTCGTAATACCGTAATATACGAATGCTATTCCGTAATATGAATCCCACGGTATTAAAATGGTACGAATTAGCAAAAACAAAAATGATAAAGTAGTGTGTAACCATTATGATTAAAAACAGTGAAACTGCGGTTAATCGTGAAAGAGGACGTGTTTTATAGGGATGGGTTCACAATACGTCATAGTTGCAACAAATCATACCATTGGAGGATAAAAAAAATAAAAAGTACGGAGAATAGATTGAAGTGTTATCATAAATCATAAAGACATAAAGACATATCTGATATTTCATCAAACAAAAAGAGAAAAAAAAGAAAGAGAAGGAGAGAGAGAGAGAGAGAAGGAGAAGGTAAAAATTACGAAATTGGATGTAAAAAGATGCAATAATTTCGCAATATTCATTTCCATTTAAGAAGGCAACAGGAAAACTGTTGAAAAAAAGTACTGAAAATTGTGAATTTTTTCCTCCTTCCTTTTTTCTCTTCTCTTCTCTTCTCATCTCTCTTTTCCAAATCTCTTCTTCTTTTTCCTTCGAAATATGAACAAATAATTCTAGAAAAATTTTAGGTGTAAGTCAATTTTTTTAAGTGTAATTTTCTTTAAAATTCACTGTAAATAAAATGTAAATATAAATGACGAATTATTTTCGTCAGCATAATTAAATTTTGGATTGTTATTTTTGACTATTTACATTGCACTCTAGACATGTCACGTCATGTTACGCCATCGACTTAAGTTTTAACGTCATATTAAAGTTTCCGCAAAAAAATGAGCTTAACGGTAAATTAAACATATCCATTAAGGAAAATAATTATACCTGTTACCCATAGATATATACCAACTAGTCATTTAACTTGTAAGTTAGCTAAAAATGACCATATTAAATATGAAAATGCTAAAAATATCATATCAACTAACTAGAAAAGAATGTTGTTGTATAGAAGTTGCACAATATTTTCCGTACATTCTCGTACGTAATGCATCATTCAATGATAAATTAACCATATGACCTTTCCAAAATGATATCAGCAATATCCATCCTATAAACAACATTTAATTGATTAAGTTATCAGTGCTTATTAATCTTTTTAATTAATGGCAATAAAAATTCAATTTTTATAAAGCATAATCAAAAAAGCACATCTTTTACATTCGTGAAATATTCTCCGGAATACATGTATGCATTGTTTTCCGGATTGCATGCATTATGTTTTCCGAAATGAATATCAATTTGCTCTACGAATTAGCATATTCATAATATGAAAAATAGCTAAATAATGATAGCAATGAGCAAACAGTTATTTACATTAATCTCTTCCGAATAGTATATCTAATTCACTTTTAAAATCACTCCTTTAATAATTTAATCAGTTATTCTAAATACCTACTTGGTATGTCATGCGTGCTAAATTATTTGAGCTTGTTGCTATTAGTAACTTCCTATTAGACAATTATATGAACTTAAATTGTTTCCTTATTCGAGCAGTAGACAAGAAATTTTTAAAAGAGTAATAAAATGATCAATTTTTGTGATAATCAACTTCATTCCATATGAGCGAAATTGATTCTCATGTTCAGCCTCAATGTTTCCATGAAGTTTATCCCCGAGTATTCCGTTTTGCAATTTCATCTTTTATGAAGTTATTATATATGTAAATGATTCATAATGATCTCAGATCACTGTGATCCGTGACATATCACATTTCGATCCTGACGTTTTTCGAGATTCGATAAGGCCTGTTTGAATTTTGAAGTTTTATGATCAATTGAAAATTGAAAAATATTTCGTTTTCTTACAAATTTACTAATGTTTCTATTGCATTACCTACAGCATTATGTCCAGACATTTAATGAAAAAAAAATAGTTTAAATACATATATATATATATTACAGAGTTTACTTCAACTTAAACAAATGAAATGAATCAAAAAAATTGAGCGGAAAATGAATTCTGGATCGTAATGACGAAACTTTTTGCAGCAACATCCAGGAAATATGCAAAATTCGAATAAATATGAAGGCTAATCAAAAACTTCTATCCCATCAGAAAATGGTAAGAACCTCAATCAATACAACTATACAATTCGAACAATGGAATAAATAATGTTGGAATACAAAATTAAATCCCTTCTGTAATTACAGATTAACTTCATAACGGCATCTCTCTGACTTAAACGAACTCTTGTCATTAATTATCCTCATTCATTCATTACTCAGAGTAGAAAAAAGTTTCTCGTTCCTGCTGTACAATAATAAACTGTGAAATTCGACAAATCAACTTATTTGATTTATCAAACGATGAGTTGACTTCACTAATAAATTACTCTGAGATTCACCATGAATTCTTCTCAACACTAAAATCATGTCATTAAATTCATTACAAGTCAGACTTTAGGTGATTATCTATTTTCGTCTTTTATCTTCTAATATCTACATTATCCCATTGAAATTAGCAAATAAAGCTCATTTTCAAGACATATTGCCAATTTCGGAAAATATTTCTATACCTATTAAAAATGGTTATATTTTTCACACTATTTGTAGGCATCAGATAAAACTTCACGTATCAAACTTTCTAACTGCACAGCAAAATTATCCATCGCAAAAACAGACTCAACTCTCTTGCGACCAGCATTACCCATAGCTTCAGTTTTACGTTTGTCTTTGACAAGTTCTGCCATCTTTTCTGCAAATGAATTCGGATTTTCTTCTACCAGAAATCCAGTCTCTTCATCAATAATAGTTTCGCGTGGTCCACCACTACTCGGTGCAATCACACAACATTTCATATACATCGCTTCCACGGGTACAATCCCAAAATGTTCATTGCTTGGCGTATACAGTACTGCTGTCGCACGCCTCAATAATTCGAGTTTCTCTTCGTCGGCTAAAATAATAATATTTTGTATGATTGTATTAAATCAGATTTTCGATATAACAAACAGTAAATGATTGAATTCCATATTCTTCTCACAAGAAACCAAATTGCTGACAACATACTTGGTGACTTTAGAAACACATATTGCTCTCTGGGCAAGCCTAATGAAATTGCATTTGCCTGTAATTCAACGAAATATGTAGTATTCTCGACATTCATGATATCGTAACCACCAGCAATAACAAGAAAACAATATTGATAATCATCTTTTGGAATCTTTTCCTGAAGTAAACCTAAAAAGGATCATACATATTTTTGAGATGGATTGATTTCGAGTGTTTTAATCAATTCTTCTGTAACACGAAACTAATCTTTCAAAATAAGAAAAAAGTAAAAACAAATTTCAAAAACAAACTAAAAGCTTCCAATGCAAGACCAATATTTTTTTTCTTTTCATATCGATTGATTGATACAAAAATATGCCGCGCTTTCTTTGGAATTTCATTCAATTCAACCATTCCACCGCTATCAAAAAATTTGGTATTCAATGTCGGATAAAGTATATGAATGTTGCGAGCGCGAATACATGGAAATGTTTCGCACACAGTTTCTCTCGTAAATTTACTATTCACACAAATTAAATCTGCCATTGCTATTGTCCATGTCTAGAAATCATGCAAAAAATGTGAACAACTGAGAACCGAAACTATCAATTTTCTTAATTACTCCAGTGAAAATAAAAAGGCTCTTTACTGTCATGGATAAGGTATATGAAATACATGATCTTCATGTTTTACAAAGTCTACTAAACGTTTCACATAAAAAGTTTTCATTTCGTTAATCATCTCGAAATCTACGGAGTCAAGTCGCAAGGAAACAGACATTTTGGATAATAATATATATCACTTTCATAATTTCAGATCAAAGTTCTTCAATCACATTTTCGATCTGAATTTAAACTAGGATTTGAAGATAGCAAATAAACTTTATCAATAGATCCGTTCATTGAAATTTTATTCTGAAATATGATGCTAGAGAACTTACTTCAAACCAGTCAATAAACATACGGTAGAATTTCTTTATCATACTCTTTCTTGTTGTTAACAATTGATCTGGAAAATGACAATAGAAAACAATCCGTGCATTGAATAAACCAAGTAATCGAAATATCCGAAAAATCAACAAACATGAAGAGATCTGGAAAATATTGTAAGTTATTAAACACATAGAATTCGTAAATTTCATTTAGTTAGAATTAGCAAATAAAACAATTTTTTATATAAAATGCCAAACATATTCCTTATTTTTTCAAATAAAAAAATTCTCACAGAATCAGAAAATACGAGCTCCGTTCTTTTCAAAAATATACATATATATAAAGCTGCGATACACATCCTAACGTAAGCACACAAAGCATGCCCACATCCGAAAATTGACCGTGGAAATACGTCAATAACTTTAATATCTGAAATGAATCTGTGTAAAAATTAGTGATCTCTCGGAAGTAAACAGAAATTGGCTAACTTTTAATGCTAGCAATTTATTTTTTGTTTCCACCATGTTCCCCATAAATATGAAATAAATTTTTATTTTTAGAATATTCAAAAATAAAAAAATTTTTGTAATAGTATTAAAACATGACCGAGTGAGGAGCATTTTACCATTTGAACTCGTGATTTTATTCAAAAGAAGCTAAGAATCACACAAATGTTCCAGAAACGAAAGCAGATAAATTGAAAGCCTCAAGCTTAAGCTACTTTTGTGTCCTGTAAATGTTATGCTGATAAAAATAGCTTTCCATTAGCAGCAGCAATTTTCGACCAATCATTGGATTGTTTTTACATCAGTTATGCTTCAAAAAATCTGATCAATAAAAATTTTATTACCAGAAATTTGTGTCTAAGATAGTTGCAGTTAACAATATCACTATTAATTCCAGCAAGTAATATATATTCAAAATTAAAAAAACGATAACGAAAATTTAACCAAATTCTGCGGTTTCCATAAATGCATGCTTGGGATTGAAGTGATTTGTCACAAATCGTACTTCATGACCATTTTGCCTCATTGCAACCGCCGCATCCATAACCAATCTTTCCGCTCCTCCGATACCCAAATCCGGATGAATTATCGTTACAAGCATCCTGAATCACAATAATAATAGTTATAATAATTATTACATAAAATGTTGTATAAGCTTCCTATCTTAATTTGAGAAGTAAAGCAATAAAATAATGTGACATCAAAATTTCACTTTCAAAAGATTTGCTGACAATATATAAATAAATATAGTCATTTATCAAAATCATCCAAGAATGTGATCCTTTTGAAAATGATTGAGGACTTTCTGATAAGAGAAAATTGATAAAGAATATCTTCTGTCGCGAATTTCGATTCGCGAAACTTCAACTATACAAACAAATAATCAAATGAATTTCTTATTGTAAACAGATTTTCCTAATATCATNACTCATTCAATTAATTCTGCATTCCTTCAAATTGTTTCATATAACATTCTTGTTTTAACCAAATCCACATCCTCATATTCACACATTTTGGTACGGTATTTCCTTTGTCAAATATTTCCTTTGTTAGCAATTACTCAAATTATCTATCTTAATT